ATTATATCCATGGATGGCTATTATTTATTGCAGATCACAGCCATCCATTACTTCTCCCCAGCTGAAGGACATGGGAGCCATTCAGCTCATTCCCCCATTCCTTTCCCACAAGTTTGAGGTGTAACAAATTATTCCTTGTCCTCTCCCCAAGCTGGGAACTTGTCTGAATTCACTAAATCCTTGATGTAGCTGAGCTTCCTATGCCTCTGGAGTGAAGAAGGGAGGAGAGAAATCGTTGATGATGAAGATGAGTACCAGGACTGCCTGCATCCCTTTCCTCCCAAATTACGTTTGTCTACCAGCAGCACAGATGGTGGCTGGGGCATAAGGCTTTGCTAGCATTCCTCAGGAAGGTCCCCTGGATTAGGGTCCTTCAACAACCAAAGCTTGAACGTTAGCTTGTGTCTAGAAGAGCCTGGAAGTGGCACCCAGGAAAAAGAAGTTGAGCCTGAGCTCTCCTAGCTTGGAGTGTTCAGGGGGACCCCAGAAAGCAACAGTATGCACAGTACAAGTAAAAGAGGAGGGCATCTGAAGACCTGACACAATGAGAGGACTGTTACTGAAGTAGCAACAATTAGTAGAGAGGATGTCCAACTCTGCATGGACAGTCTTGCAGGGAACATTCTTTCTCCTTCCTCATCCTCACTTGGGAACAGAAAGAGCCAAGGAGAGAGAAGGGAAAGGGGAGTGACTTCTTCACCCCCTCCACAAAGAACTATTGTAGATACAAGTCCACCTATGTCAGAAGAACAGAAAGAGCTATGAAATTAAATATTTTAAATGGTCAGGCCTAAGTTTTACTACTTAGAATGGAACTATTAATTACTGAAAAGAAATAGGACTGCAAAGTTATAGGACTAGACTAGGATGTTCTTAAGGGAACCTGCTATCCAGTGTACAAGAGGATTTCTAGAGACAGTGGTTATAGTTATAAGGCAAAAAATTAAACTGTTTTATATTTGTGATTCCCAAGTTGAGACTTCTTACACTGGCTGTTTACTTATAATTTGTGTTTCCTGGTTTGTCTCTGTCTTAAACTATAAGCACTGTGAGACCAAAAAAGCAAGTCTATCTTGTTCACTTTTATATTCATTGAGTGTAGCATAGCTGCTCACAACAATTTGCTGAGTAAGTAAAACTCTATATCTAAATATATAAATATCTATAATTAGATATCTAAATTTATTTAGTAATATAGAAAATACACACAAAGTTATATTTTTCTTTATATTTAGAAGTTGGTAGTATGTTTTGGGACTGAATGTCTGTATTCTCCCCAAATCCATATGTTGAAGCCCTAGCCTCCAGTGGGATGGTCTTTGGAGATGAAACCTTTGGGAAGTAAATGTTGTTAAATTAAGTCATGGGGGTGGGACCTTAGGGATGGGATTAGTGGCTTTATAAGAAGAATGGGGAGAAATCTTTCTCTTTCTCCCTGCATACACAGAAAGGACAAATGTGAGGACAAAGAGATAAGCTGGCCATCTGTGACCCAAGGTGAGAACTGTTATAACTAGGAACAGAACAAACCACACCTTCACTTTGGAATTCCCAGCCTCCAGATAAATGAGAAATGAGAAATAAATTTCTATTGTTTAAGCCACCCAGTCTATGGCACTGCATTAAGGCAGACAGAGCTGACTTAGACATAGTGTAATTAAGAAATCACTGAAGGGACATGATTAAATACTCTCTTTTCCTTTCTTTTCTTTCTTTTTTTTTTTTTTCCCCTACAGAGAGGGTCTCTCTATGCAGTTCCAGGCTGAGCTGAATTTACTTATGTAGCCCATACTGGCTTCAAACTCATGATCCTCCCGTTTTGGCCAAGTGCTGGAACTTCAGGCATGCATCATGTTAAAGAACACTTTGTCCATGTAGAAAGAATCAAAAGAGGACAAGAATAGTTCAGGAAAATGGGATAAGAAGCTACTTCAATAGACTGGGCCAGAGGTCACTTTAGTTTGGCTAGAATCATGGCAGCAGAAGCCAAAAGAAGTGAATGCCTGCAAGAGGTAGGAGGTAACACAGGCAGGATTTAGTGTGTGAAGAACAGGTAGAGGTCAAGTTCAAAGCTGTGGTTTCTCACTTGACAATTGCTGGCTGGTGGTACCTCCATTCCCCACATAAGGAACACTGAAGGGAAAGCAGGCTTTTTTTTTTTTTTTAAATAGTATATTTTCTTTTATATGCAAAAAATGAAGGTCCAAAACATGGTTTGTTGAAGTAGTTATCCACAAGATGTTAAATTATTTTACCTTTGTTTTTGTTAAAACAGACCAGGAACAGCAGTCAGTTCCCTTTCTACTAATAGCATAGAAACACAGTGACAGGACTATTTTAGTACAGAATAAACAACTTTCAAGAAAAATTAATTTTTAACTAGATTAAGCATTTTTACCAATAAATAAAAAAATTAAAGGTAGCATATTTATCCTACAATCCTGGCAGGCTTTTTTGAGGGAAAGAATATTTGGGGAGAGGTACAGGTGAGTTCAGTTTTAGTCATATTCAACTTGAGATGTCTAGAAACATCCATAGCTTTCTGGATATATGCAACTGTAGATTTAAGGACTGGTAAAGACAGGGCTGGGCCAGAGATAAACATGTGGGGGTCACTGGCACAAGAATAATTACTGATATCATGAGACTAGACGAGATTACACAGGGAGAAAGTAGTGTGTGAGGTGGCCCATGTCAGATGGCTGAGGAACACTAAGATTCATGGAGTGGGGGCTGGTGGATTGGCTCAAATGGTAAAGCACCTGCCTAGCAAGTATGAGGCTCTGAGTTCAAACTCCAGTACTGCCAAAAAAAAAAAAAGACTTTTAAAGAGTGGATAGAGATTATCTTTCACCTTTGTTATATTTATTAGAGTATAATAAAGTATATAGCACACAATTCCTGCTTCTATGGAGAGGCCAGTTAGAAAATTTCAGATGATAACTGATATGAACAAGCCAAATAACATAATAGTGGTATTATAAGGCTTATGATACAAGCCAAATGAACTCTGCAGATAATAAATGCTTCATGCTTTTAAAAAAAAAGTACTGTTAGGTGAAATACTCAGCAAAAGTTTTCAGAGGAGCGCCAATCTTCATTTTTCTTTACTGCATTTTTTCCTATTACTAATTTCTGTCATGAATTAGCAATATTAACTTTACCACCTCAAAAACCAATGTAACTATTACATGTAAAAACAAATGTTAAAATTTTCTAGATTATTTTGCAGAGATTTATGATTAATTTACATGGGCATTTACATATTAATAGGTTAAATTTATTAATTAAATGTATTGATTAATCAATATGCATTCAAGCCTTAAAATGAGCATAAAGATAAGTGTTAATATTAGTGCATATTTGATATAAGTCTAACTACAATGCTTAGAGTGCTCCCGTTTTTCTTTATTTGTACTGACTTTACAGCACCAAAGCATGAAAAAAAAAAAAAAAAAAAAAGACTGGATAGAGGACTAGAAGTCAGCTAGAGGAGAAGAAAAAAAGAGAAACGATAAGAAAGATGCAGAGTTGCAGAAGCCTAACAAAGATGGTGTTTCAGGAAGTAGAAAGTTAGGCCAGGAGGTGTAGCTCAATGGTAGGGCCTGTGCTTAGCATTGTGAGGACCCTAGGTTCAATTCCCATAAGAAGGAGGAGAAGGAGAGGAAAAGGAAGAGGAAGAAGAAGGAAAAGAAGAAGTTGAAGGAGGAACAGTAGAAATAGGGAGTTAAGTAAGCTAAATGTTTAATGAAATTAGGTGAATTCAAATTAATGAATGTCTGCATAACATTTCACCTGTTGAAATAGAACATCTAAACTCCTTATCCACCCCAGACCAGTGGTTCTCAAAGCCTGGTGACCACATTAGCAAAGTCAGCATCACCTGGGAACTTGTTAAAAATGCAGATTTCAAGAATGAGGCATTGTGGAACACACCTGTAATCCCAGCACTGGAGAGGCAGAAGCAGAAGTTTCTTGAGTTCAAGAACAGCCTGGGCTACGCATGTAGTGAGACCCTGTTTCAAAACAACAAAACAACCGAAAAAGCAAGAAATGCAAATTTTGGAGCCTGTCGCCCCAAATTCAGTATCTCAGTCAGTAACTCTGGTGTGCAGAGTTTTAATAAGCTCTCTGGGCAATTCAGATGCTCTGCAGAGTTTGAGTACCACTGCATTGGCATGTATTTAGGCAGCACCTGATAGACATTGGCTTAGGAACAAACCCCTTTTTACTAAACACATTTTTCTTTTTGGATCTGTTACTATTATTTTGCAAATCCGAGCAGCAGGACTTTATCACTAACATTGTTTATAACCATAGGTCCTTCCTTGATTTTAATATTCCTGCCCTAGAGCTAACCAACCAACCACCTATCACTTCTCCCTCTATTGGGGATATCATCTTTCATTCTTATAACTGATGCTTATTCATAACATCTAATTATTCATGCCCTCCGCTACCTCCTAGCTTCTCATCCCGCTACCACTTGAACAACCCTCTACAGCTCACAGCTTAAATTCCTGAGAGAGCTATACTGTTTGGTGAATCTGAAAATTGATACAATTTACCAGGTAATTTGGTAATCATTTACCAAAGCAACAACAAAAACACAGCTTTTGACCCAACAGCTCCATTTCTAGGAATTTAATGCCGCAGATAACTCGCACATGCGCACAAAGAAGGGGGGCGGCTCAACTACTTCAGCCAGAAGCCAGGTCACCTATCCTCAGTCCCTTGTCCCCTCTCGCCGCACACTTCCTCTCTCCTCTCCTCTCTCTTTCTGTGCGTCTCTCTCTTTCCTCTCTCTCTCCTTTCTGTTTTTTTGCCCGTCGGCAAGGTAAAATGGGTGCCGCCACCAGAAAGCACGATCACCGACTAGGACCCAGCCGCCCGCGGCGGTCCAGGGGGCGTGGCTAGGGGAGGGGCAGGCGGAGGGGCGTGGTTACGGGCTGGAAGGGGCGGGGCCAGCGAGGCGATGGCCTGGGTCGTAGCCGCCGCCGTCGCCGCCTCCGCCGCCGCCTGGTCCTCCGCCGCTTCAGCAGCGGAACCCGCTGCCGCCGACGCTTTGGTCGCCGGCCGCCCGCGCGCTGGCTCGGCCGGGACCGGTAGCCATGGAGGACTTCATCGTGATTTCGGACGACAGCGGCTCCGAGAGCTCTGGGAGCACCCGTTCAAACCGGGCGCGGAGGCTCCGCCGGGCCCTGTCCCGGACCCCAGGCGCGCTGCCCCGCCGGACCGTGGTGAGTGAACGAATCTCGGCTCGCCGAGTCCCGCCGTGGCCGAGAGCGTCACCTGAGCTCGGGCCTGGCATAGTCGCGACCCGCGGCCGCACCCGGCCTCACTTCGCTTGGCGCCTCCGGGTGCAGCCGCTTCCCGCCTCGCCGCCTCCCCGGCCTCTCGGGCCTCCTCCTCCAGGAGCGCGGCGGCGGCGGCGTTGGCGCTGGCCGGGACGACGGGGCCTCAGGGGTCCGGGTCCAGCCCGCCCGCGACAGCCGAGCACATGGACGAGCCCGATGCGGGGCTCGCAGAGTCGGAGGCGGGCGGCGAGCTCAGGCCCGGGACGGCGGGAGCTCGGGCGAGGGGCGGAGGGCGGGTCCTCGGGGCGCGGGAGCGCGTAATTGTCTGGCTGCTGGTGGGCACAGATGTGTGCAGCGAGGTCCAGGAGCCCGGGCCCGAGAGAGGAAAGCGCGGGGGCCTGGGCGGGCGGGGGCCGCGTTCCGGGGCCTGCTGCCTGGCCAGGGGCCGAATTTTGGAGCGGTGATGGAGGGCGATCGATGTCGCCTGGTACCATGTACCAGGCCCTCTGGGAATCTGGCCGGGGGTGAGGTGGGGGCTGAGTTGCATGATTTCTTTTTCTTTCAGGCCCCTTCAGTCTTTGTCCTTGTTCTTGAAGAGGTGCATAGAATAGCTGTGATCCCTGCCTTTCCAGAATTCTCTACAGCTACTTAGTGAACCCCTACCATGAGCCAGATGTTCTGGGAGCTAAAGATACAATGGAGAATACAACATTCAGGCCCCTGTCCTAGAAGATGATATATTTATTCAGCAAGTGGTAATTGAGTACCCAACTCAAGGGGTGGAGGTAGACAGCTTTCCATCAGAAAACTTCCAGCAATCTCCTCAACCTCTCAAAGCCATACCCCAGAAATACAAGAATTGTCAAGCTGGTGTTAGGTGTAAACAACCTGCTTCCTATGTAAATACTCCTTTGAGCAATTCTCCTAGCTTCTGCTCCCCCATTTCCCTTACTAGAAAGTTTGCAGTCCTGAAGCCTCCTCTCTGCGCCTCTCCCTTTGTGTTTCCCTTACAGAGCTAAATGTTAGGCGATCACTACAGAATGATTGGCATGCAAGACCAGACCACTTAAGGTAGACTGTTGTGTTGCCATGGTTCAAGCAAGAGAGATGCTCAGTACCTCTCAGTGAAGAATTTAGTTGAGTTGGGCAGCTGATAAGATGGACAGACGAGTTTTCAAATGAACGAAATGACCAGACTTCGTGATACTGCTGTGGCAGAATGTGAGCAATAATGATTACTTGTTGGATGAAAGAATGGAGGGAAAAGAGAGCAGTTCACAAGGATGTTTGAGCAGGCTCAGGGTGATCCACTAAAAGGCTAAATTCAGTTTGGACCTACTGTTCCTAAAGCACTGATGGGAAATGAGGTGGATATGACAGCTGAAAGGAGTTCACTCCTGAGAAAAGTCCGGGCTGGAGAGATTTGGAATTATCCAAACAGAAAGTAGTGACGGCCTAATAATGGTTCAGATCAAAAGCGTATGGAGAAGCTGGGTAAATTGGCTCACACCTGTAATTCCAGCCACTTGGAAGTCAGAGATAGGATTGCAGCTCAAGGCCAGCCCCTGCAATAGTTAGAACCTACCTCAGCCAAGCCAGGCATGGTGGTGCTTGCCTGTAGTTCCAGCTACTTGGGAGGCAGAAGTAGGAGGATCATGGTCTTCAGGCAGATACTCTGAGTTAAAAAAAAGAGAGAGATGGCAGGGAAAATACTGCAGGGTAACTCACAACTGCCTTTCCTCTGAGTTTCTCCTCTTTCCTATTGCCCCTTCTCTCAGCCCCTTAACTCTGTCCTTTCTGCTACTTCCCTTCCACCCAGGTGGTGTCCGTTTTTCCTCATCCAGCTTCCTTCAGTACATAGATGTCATCCTTATATCTGCTGGGTGGCCCCTAAGACACATACATGGATGGACTCTCACTATTTTTCTACTCTGACCACCCAAGAAAGCATTTTGATCTTGAACCTTCTGAATTGACTAGAAATGATGGACAAGCAGTGCTCAATTTAAATCTTTTCTAGATACTTACTTCAGCTCTCTAAAAGCTCCAAGCCAGTTCTTTTATCTTTCTTGAAAATTAGATGAGGGTGGTAAGATAATCATGTAAAAGATCAGAGGTATTCACAGGCCTAAAACATGTTTTTCTAACTTCTAGACCTCTGTTCAGATCAAGCTCCCCCACCTAAGCAGCTCTGTGGGCTTTGGCAAGTTCCATCGCCTCTCAGCATTTCAAGCCTGGGAATATTAATACCAGTTTACACCTGGCAGGATTGTTTCAAAGTTTTTAATTAGCATAAAAGGCACTTTTGGTACTCTTTGTATTCTTTCTAAGCCAGGCCTCAGACCTCAAGGGTAGCAAGCAATGAAATTTTAAAAAGCAAGTTTTATGTATTTTTTTCTTTTTAAAAAATAAATATTGACTAAGGGACAATTACTTGCTTGAATTCAAGAAATCAGAAAGCTATTGACTATAGTTGACATTTTGAACTCCTGGTTCTTGTTTTTTGCTTGCTTGTTTGTTTGGAGCAGATGCTCTACCACTTGAGCCACCCCACCAGCAAACTCCAGGTTCTGTAACCTGAGCTTCAGTCTTCTTTCGGTTAATGAAGTGTGTTGGCATTTTTGATAGCTTTTTTTTTTTTTTTAACAAAAACAGAACATTTTCAGATAGTCAATTAATACTGGTTGATAAAATTATAAAAATTTTGAAATGTATAAGGAAGATACCAAAATTGCCTTGATATCACCATATAAACATAACTAATGTTAACATTTTGATGTATATATCTGTAAGCTTTTACCTGCAAATGCATGTGTACACCCCTACATCCCCAGGTACCCTGCCATAGGTGTTTTTGCAAAAATGAAGTCTTGCTGTACACATGAGTTTTTTTAGCCTGACACTAATAAATACTTGTCTTCATAATTTTTCTTTTTGTGTGTGTGGGACTGGGGTTTGAACTTTAGGGCTTCCCGCTTGCAAAGCACGTGCTATACCACTTAAGCCACATCTCTAGTCCGTTTTCTTCTGGTTATTTTGGAGGTGGAATCTCAAGAACTGTTTACCCTGGGTGGCCTTGAACCTTGATCCTCCTGATCTCAGCCTAGCTAGGATTACATCAATACCCTGTGTTCATCAGTATTTTAATATATTTCTTTGTATGGATTTAAGTTATGTTTATGACCTCTTAGAAATGGAAATCATGCCTTGATTTCTATTTTAAACAACCCAGTGTGAAATTCCCTCATAATTAATCTTTGCACCTTTGTTCATATGTTTACGTAATAAGTTCCTCTTGGAGGCAAGATTACAGAGTGAAAAGGTTTGTCCTGCTTTCAGAGCTTTAATGTGTATAACCAGATTTCATGTACAAAATGAGTACTAATTGTATTCTCACTGGTAGTATGCCAGTGATGGTATATACCATCAGCCATAGCCTTTTCTCCACTACCTAAGTTACCCCCAGCTATTGACAATTTATTCAGTGTCTGTTTGTGAAGTGCTTATTGTATACTAGACATACCGGACATTCTTTTTCTTTTTCTTTTTTTTTTTTTTTTTTTTGTGGAACTGAGGTTTTTTTAACTCAGGGCTTTGCACCACAGTCCTGATCTCAACCTTCCAACCTCCCAAGTAGCTAGGATTTCAGGATTGAGCCACCAGCAACTAGGCTTTTTTTTTTTTAATAGATGCTGGTAATACATCCGTGAACACAACCAAGTCTCTGTCCTGGTGGAGGTTTCATTTTAGTTAGGGGAGACAAGCTATAAACAGCCATAATAGTGTTAGAAAGAAAAATAAGTTATTCTTGTGTTTTTAATCTTTACTGACTTGATAACCAGATTCATGGGCTTTTTTTTTCTTTGATTGTGATTTATTCATTCAGTAAATACTTATTGAACACAGGGTCTGACCCTGGGAGCAGAAATGAACAAGATAACAATGGAGCTATGTTCTATTAGGTAGAGAAAGGCAGTAAACTAATAGATAAATGAATATAGCAGTAATTAGGATAGGGAACATTAGGCTAGGGAAAGTGTCATATGACATGTTTGGAGGGTTTTGACCTTGGTTTTTGGCTCATAGCTCCTATAACTCTTGTAATTTCCTAAATTACTGCTGCCTTAAATAAGGGTGTTTGTGTATGTTTGTTTTTTGTTTTGGGTTTTTGGTGCTACTATAGTTTGAACTCAGGGTCTCACGCTTTCTAGGCAGGCCTCTACCAGTTGAGCCACACACCTGTCCCCCAGCCCTTTTTGCTTTATTTTTGAGATAGGGTCTCCCTTTGGGTCCAGGCTGGCCCAGAATGTAGACCACAATCCTCCTATTTAGGCTTCTCTAGGTGAAGTGACAGACAGACACATGCCACCACACTCAGCTTTTATTGATTGAGATGGGGTTTCAGAAATTTTTGCCCAAGTTAATTGAACAATGATCCTCCCCATCTCTACTTCCCAAGTAGCCAGGATTACAGGCTATAACCAGGAGGAGTATCTTTTGTTAAAATTTACCTTTGTTCTTAGTTCCACTTCAGAGACATACAAGGTAGTCCTTTATTATTTATAACAGTCTTTTTCAAACACACTTAAATAGCTTAAGTTACTGAGGTGATTTTTTTCCAACTTTTTAGTTTTCTTTAAAGGAGTTTTAAATTTTTATGTAGTTCTGTCATTTTTCTTTTATGATTTTTTTGTTGTCATAAAGGTTTTCCTCACTCCTAAGATTATAAAAATATTTTTACATTTAATCCTTTGACCCATGTGGAATTAGATTCAAAAGAGTACAGATAAAATGGATATCTAATTTTTCTCTCCAGATGGTTAACGAGGTCTCCCAAAATCATTTGTTGAATAACCTGTCCTATTCATCCATTCATTTGAAGTAGGACCTTTATTAAATGAAAAACTTTTCTATATTTTTAATATGGACTTTATTCTGGAGTC